GTTCCTGACTTGAAAGTGAAAATTCGGCTAATAATTCAATTGGAAATTTATGCGTATTGTTTATTGATTGAAAGACATAGCGAAAGCATATGATAATTTTTATATTTATATCAATATCAGGCCTTGAATTAGGCAAACATGAGTAAATAAATCAATATTTGGTAGTGGATACACTTACTTAATTGTTAAGCAAATACTTGCGATAAAAGTAGAGAGTTTATTAATGAAGTAATAACTGTTATTAAGTCAGTAATCCTTGACTTATTTCATAATGTTTATAAAAGTATTCGTTAGGGGGATACAACTTGCCACCATTTGGTTTCCTTACGGACTTTGAGATAAGTTAATCAACTGGGGGATCAATACTATGTACAATTGTCAATTGTCAACTTCCATGGGGAGGATTCGTTGTTCAGGTCCCATTTGGCTGAAGAAGGTAACATCACGGGATGAAGGGCTGGGACCGCAACATAAACGGATATATTCCCTACCTTTCCTCCATTGAATTTCGGCTAACTTTCACCTAGGGCAGGCTGATATCTAAATCTTGGGAAAACGAAAAAAAAGAAAAAGGAATATCGAAATTACAGGGAAAAGCCCTCTAAAACTTTCGCCTAAAAATGCACCTGTGTGCCACTTTTCTACAGACTTTCCTTTCAACTTTTCGGCTATGGCTTAACACATTTGCACCTCTCTGCTGCATAAATGAGGGGGGAGAAGAGAAAACAGAGGCCAATAAATTTGTACACATAAACTTGATTGATAAAGGCCATAAATAATCGCAATAATAAATAGAAAATGGTCAAGACTGGTCAGCAAAAAGTAAAAGGCCGCGACACGGCAATTTGATGTAACAACCAATCATTATTAATAGCCACGAAAAATGAAAAACGAAAACCCGAAAAACCGAAAAAATCGAAAAGGTAAAAAGAAATTGCACACACACACACCACAAAAAAAAGTGAAGTCAGAAGTTTAACAATAACAAGTTTTGGCGCTCTGAACTCTGTTGTTTAACTCCCATTGACTTCCAGCCGCTTCGAGATGGAAAGCCACCCATAAATCAGCAATAATTATCTTTTTATATTGATCTGCAATTGCCCGAATGCAGGTAGCTGATAAATCGTTGCTGATATATTGGAAATTACCCGGCACAAGCTTATAGAAAGACTCCAGCTCCAGTTGTGTTGTCCATACATACATATACATAGATACATAACATACATATGTACCTTTGCTCGCTCGTTCATGTGGCATTTGATTTTTCCTTTTATTCTGCGGAAATTGCATACCAATTTGTGGTAGACAGCAGCCCCAGATTTGCACTCACATGTGCTGGCTTCGCCGCTTTTCTTTGCTCTATTGAAATCAACAAGAAGGCTGGCCACAATGGGATAAATCTGGCAAGATAAAAAGAACATTTTGCTTAGAATTATTTCTTTAAATCTCAAAAATAAAATTTAAAACAAGTGCCTACACTCACTTGTGATAAACAAATTCAAGCATTATTGGAAAGGCATAACATTAACAGTAACAGTAAATATGCCTATTTCTGTAATTGACAAATATTTGGGAAAATCAAAGTCTTAAAATATAATAAGTAAGCCAAAAATACATTTATTGCAATTCAAAAAGCGTTTCTGTGTTAGCTATAATTTGGTTAACAAATCTGCATAAAATGATCGGAAATTTAAAATACATTTTTTTTCCATTTTTGACAATTTTTACGATGTAAAAAATTCAACATTTTGAAAAAAATAAATTTCTTTGGGATATAGCTAGATCGACTGGGCTTCTGATGCTGATCGGAATATCGGAAATTACTCCTTCACTGCGTTTCAAGCTTCTGACTAGAACTATGGTACCCTGCAAGGGTATAATTACACCAGTGCGTATACGTAATATTGTGGGACCATAAATGCCTGAAATAATATTCAAACAACATAGGAAGCGTACTTCGGCACGCCGAAGCTTGTATTCCTTTGCGATTTGCAATTAAATTGAATAAGATCGTATAGAAAATCTATAATAGCTAAGCTTAAATATTTGCATTATTAAAATCAATATTTATGTCATTTTTATATGGCAACTTTTACGACAAATCAATGTTTAGAAAGCTCATAACTAAGTCAAAAAAGCATTAATTTTAATTCGGAAACCTCTCCTATGTTACCTTTTATGTGAATAATAAATCTGCATGTCAAATTTAAATTTTTAAAGAAGTTAAAATTTTGGTCAATTTTTGACAATTTTAACGATGTAACCCCTTATGAAAATTTCAAAATTTTGAAAAAATTAAATTTCTTTGGGACATGGCTCAATCGACTCGGCTATTGATGCTGATCAAGAATATATATGAATCATAGGGTTGGAAATGACTCCTTCACCACTTATTAGAAAAGATTTACCTAACTAATAATACATTTTGCGCCATTGTTCCCGTTGCAACATGGGACACAGCTTTTAACCAAAAATATTTCCGTTGGAAAATCAAAACAGGCAAACACAAAATTCAAGTAAAATCACGTTCGGGGGCAAAAGACGCTAACGTAGCCAAAAGAGAAGCAGAAATTGTAAAGGAAACAATAGCCACAATAATGGGGGCCGTGTGTGTCTGCGATGGGGATTACCGAAACCAAAGTTGATTTTTATTGGGAATCGAGTGAGGGCATTAAATGAAATCTATTTGTACAATTTACAGACGGGGACACAACTGAAGGGAAATGGGAAATGGGGGTGAAAATCACTTCAAGTTGGTCCAATGCTTTCCCCGCCGAGGCATGGCCAGTGAACTGGACAACCGTTCCTGTGAAAACTGCAGACACGGCATCAAATAAAACGCGGAGTGGCGATCTGAGAGCCCCGAGGACGGCGACGACGATGACGATTTTTTACCAGCTACAAAAAAGAGCTAAATAAATAAATATCACCAGCAGCAGCAGCAGCAGCAGGAAGAATGGATAAAAAATAGATTTGTGCTGTGAATAAGCACACATGGCTATGGAGCGTATGTCGACACAACGTCTCGAATGTTGCCCGTCGTCCGCGCTTTTTCTTTTTTATTTTCATTGCTGTGAATGTGACATTGTTCAGTTGCAACAGTTTCCCTTTTTTTCGATACCCATTACTCGCAGAGTAACAGGGGTGTCTAGCATTTGTCCAGATAAAAATCTAAAGAAGCCTTTTCATAAGAAGGTATTCCCAACCTTCTGATGAAAAACAATGCACTTATTTGCATTATTATTTCTTTAATTTCTTTCAGAGCAAGCTTTTTTACTGAAGGATCACTAATGAATATCTATTAATTCCTTAACTTTCCCTCACAAAATACCAAGGTATTTTCAAGGGCGCAACTTCTTTATTTTCGGTTTAAATCCACTCCACAGTTTGTAGCAATTCCCTTGGTTTTATTTGTGTGGGAAGTGTGAACCGATTCTTGCTGACTCTGGAAATTCAAGCTGCAGCTTGAAACTTCTTCTCGGAAGGAGTGAGAAGGGGATCTGGTCTATGCGGTGCACTGGCAGGGAGCAAAGAGATCTCTAAGTGGTTTTATGGGTTTTATACAAATTCGAGTGCGAATAACTAAACTAAAAAAAAAACAGTGGCATGCTGCGAAAATAGAGAAAAAATCTCATTGCAGCACAACTCAATTGTCAAAAGTTAAGCGACATCTCATGGGGCGGCCGAAAAGTTTCACATTACATGGAACGAATGGCCTGCTGGCCAGCTGGCTGACCCGATTTTTAAAGTCGAATGCGAACGCAAATGCATCTCATTCCGTTTTCTGTTGGCTTTCCGCACGTTTCCGGCTGACCAAACAAAACTTCACTCAGACCGTCAGTCAGTCATGCAAGAAGCTAAGAAATCAATTCACTTTTGGCCGCAGCTGCACATTTTGGGGCCTGATCTCCTTCTGTTCCTCACTCCTGCTCTTTAATCCGCAGCTGCCCGGACTTCACTTCATGTTTATGCCACAATTTGCAATTTTGCGGCTTTCATCAACGGAAATTAGTCGGGGCGAAGAGCAATTTCCCAAAAGTGTTGCTCGAAATACAAATAATAACAGGTCGTTTCTATTCCGAGAATCATGAAAAGCTGTGAAGCTGATTATCTGATGTCTGAGTCACTTTTAGACATTGAGTGCTATTTGATATTATTATCTTATTGAAATTTATAGACAATTTAAATTAAACATATCGAAATAAACATAGAATAGAATATAATTATCTGCAAGTAAAGGACATTGAATACCATTCAGACTATCTGATTTTAAATATTTATTTATTTAGACGCAATATATATTGTATTTCACTGCATTTACATTTACTGCTTGTCTCATTTATTCATTGAAGACAACATTAATCCATTTTCAAGCTCAGTTTATAAATTTAATATAAAATAAATTAAAAATCGCTCTCGGTAAACTCTGACAAAATTCATTAGAAATGAGAATCTCTCCTCCGCCACATAAACCGCCAAAGCCGAAGCCCAAGTCAGGCAAACAAAGACTGACTAACAAACAAGCGGAAAGTTCCACTTTGGCTCAAAACGTTTAATACTCAAATGTCTTAATTGGTAAATAGAAAACGTTGGAAAAAGAATGGCAAACAAGCTGCAGCCGGGAGAACTTTTCCAGCAAAACTTTTTAACTGCGAACAAATTTCCACACAAAAACCAAAGGGAAAAAAAGCCAACGAAACTTATAACTTAATTGAAACTTAATGAGAAAATGCAGCCGCATTGTTTGCCAGTGGCAATACCTGGGCAGATGCGTATCTTAAAGATGCAAACGTGCAGGTGTCTGTCTGCTAAATGCGACAGTCATTTGCCTGATTGCCACCGAGACATTAGGAGCCCTGTTGTGTTGCAAGGTGGAACGTGCCCCGAGACAAAAATGAGAATACCTCAGTTATGCGATACTCTGGCACTCAGCTATTAGATACTCCTAAGGGAATTACGCAATTCTTTTGTTAACATTTGCCTCTGTCTTTTTCTTGCAGATGCGCTCACCTGGTCGCAGCAGGTGAACGTGGAACCCAACACCGCCCTGCTCAACGAGGGAGATCGCACCGAGCTGCTGTGCCGCTACGGGAGATCCATCAACTATTGCCGCATCGAGATCCCGGGCGAGGAGAAGGTCCTCAACCTGTCGCCCGAGTGGAGCAAGACCCCCGGCTTTACCTACTACGGAGCGGGCCTGACCGCCGGCCAGTGCGGCGTCAGCATCGAGCGGGTGAAGGCCAGCTATAATGGCCAGGTCAAGTGCAGTCTGGGTGTCGAGGGCGAGGAGCTGTCGGGCACCATCGATCTGGTCGTGGCATGTGAGTATTTCAAACATTCAATATATTTACAATATCTTGAAAGCAAGAAAGGAAACAAATTTCAGTATATATCGAATCGAAAATCGATCATAAATAAGTTTAAAATATTTGCAAGGGTATAATTACACCGTGCGTATACGTATTATTTTTGTACTATGAATGCCCGAAATAATGTTCAAATCGAAACGAGAGCTTACTTCAGCAAGCTTGTATTCCATTACCGTTTGCAATTAAATTGAATAAGATCGTATCAAAAATCTATAATAACTAACAATAATAACAATATTTATTGATGTTTATATATGGCAATTTTTACTACAAATCAATGTTTAGAAAACTCATAACTATACCAAAAATTCATGAATTTAAGTTTGAAAAGCTTTCCTATGTTACCTTTTATGAGGATAATAAATCTGCATGTCAAATTTAAATTTTTAAAGAAATTAAAATTTTGGTAAACTTTTGACAATTTTATAAGAATTTAAAAATTTTGAAAAAATTTAATTTCTTCGGGACATGGCTCAATCGACTCGGCTATTGATGCTGATCAAGAATAAATACGATTTATAGGATTGGAAATGACTCCTTCATTGTGTTTCAAGCTTCTGACTTAAATTATAGTACCTTGCAAGGGTATAACAAGAAGTAAACCAGCTCGTTGTAATTTAAAATTAGTTTATTGACGGTTTTTTTAAGTTATTTTAAGTTCTCACCTTTGAACCCTTTAAGTTTTCTAAACAAAATTCCTTTTATTTCTCCTCAATTTAACAGTGCGTCCACAGCAGCCCATTATTGAGCTGCTGACGCGACCAAATCGCGAGGGTTACTTTAACGAGAACACCGAATTCAAGGCTCGCTGCACCGTTCGTGATGGTCGCCCGCCGGCGAACATCTCATGGTTCATCGACAGCATGCCGGCCAACAAGCGCACCACACCCCTGGACATCCGTCCCTCCTCCAACACCAACAGCAACTCCAGGGACAACGTCGAGCTGTCGACCTCCGAGCAGGAGATCCAGTGGCATCTGTCGCCGGAGGATAGCAACCGGAAGCTGGTCTGTCGCTCGCACCATCAGACCGATCGCGAGAGTTTGCCGCCCCAGGAGGCTGCCTACATTATCAATGTGCGATGTAAGTGTATAGATATAGTGTCATTAAATAATTTAAGGAAAATGTAGGTTTTCCGCCGTTGCAAATATATAGCTCTAACCCCAATTCTGTGTTATTCAGATGCCCCCATCCATCAGGTAGATGCCGCCGTGTATGGATTGTATCTCGACCACACTGCCATTGTGAATATCACCATTAAGGCCAGCCCGCAGCCCAAAATCGAGTGGACTATCGATGGAGCGATCGTGTCACAAGGACGCACCGACGGACGCTACTCGGCGTACGAGCCGCAGTATTTGGGCAACGACGAGTACAATGTGACTTTGGCCATCGCCGGACTTACGCTGGAGGACACCACGAAAGTGTACCAACTGCGGGCCACCAACGAACTGGGCATGACGGACTACCAGGTGCGGATTAGCTCGTCGAGCAAACCGCCGAGCAGCAGCCTCGACGTGGCCGCCATTGTTGGCATTGTGGTGGCTGTGGCTGTCTTGGTCCTGATTGTCCTACTGATTCTCTTTGCCCGCGCCACCGGTCGATGGTGTTTTGGCGGTAAGTCCAGCCACTGCTCTACCTTTTTACTATTATTTTCCATGCACACATTTTTGCTTTAATTTCGTGGGTGAACAACAACGCAACGCAATGTCATCATCATTAGCCACTCAGCCACATCAACAAAAACATCATCATCATCGTCATAATGGCCACCACTATTGTCTCATCATCAGCTATGCTAACAATAATTTCTGGCTTTAGGTTCTCCACCCACCACCCCCTACCCCCACTCCCCAAAAAACCACCGAAGCCACCCACTTTTACATACACAACTCCACCAAGAGCCACCCATCCATCCTGCAATTCATATATGTACATATGGGTTTCGGGGCCTGAGGTTCGCCGCAAGCCGTTGTTAACTTTCGACGCATTGTGCGGCTTTTAAATTTTAATTAGCGTTAACCTAGCAGAAGGAGGACGCTCCTCCAGCCCTTCCCTCGGATGAGCGAGCGGCAAGCCCTAGAAAGCTCATCTAATTAAAAAAATTTCACTTGACTTTCGCCAACAAGTTTTGGGGTAAAAAAAAAACACAACTCGTAACTGAGCCGGGAAAAATGTGTACGAGTATCAAAGAGATAATAAGATTACAACTAGAACTTTGTTGAAAATAAAGATAAAACTAAAAGAAATGGAATGTTAAAGTTAATTTAAAACAAAAGAAGTTTGTATACAATTATATACAAATTGCAATCGATCTTCACTAAGCCAAAAACAAATTAACCTCAATTTTGAATGTTTTTAGTTAAAGCTTTTTAATTAGCCTTCTATACCTCAAAGAAAACTTAAAATTTAGTAATACTTATGCTTATGCTTATTGTTTGGGTAAATTACAGTTTTTCAAATATCATAACTAAACCAAAAGTGCATTGATTTCAATTCGGAAAACTTTTCTGGGCTAGTTTTTAGTAGATTTACAAATCTGCATACCTAGTTGTAAAATTTACAGAAATGTATTTTTTTTTAATTTTGACAATTTTAACGATGTAACCCCTTTTCAAATTTTGAAAAATTTGAAAAAAATAAATTTTTGTCGGACATAGCTAGATCGACTCAGTTTTTAACGCTGATCAAGAATATATATGGTTTATAGGGTCGGAAATGACTCCTTCCTAGCTTTTTAAGCTTCTGACTAAAATAATAGTACCCTTCAAGGGTATAATAACACCTGTGCGTATACGTAATATTTTGGGACTATAAAATGCAGTCGAGCTACGAATTAAAAATTAATAAATTCATTTATGAAAATATTATTGGAAACAAATACAAAATGTAGTTTAAATGAAAAAAATAGTTAAAAATTAGATACAGTTTAAAATAATAACACAATATTGTAAACAATGTATTTTACGAATGCATAATGTTAAAGAACACATGAATGTGTAACAGGGGGAGCGGGCGATGAAAACTAAAGCCAACAATTAAAAATAAATAATTAATAGATGAAGAACAAAGATTGAAAACACATATAAGCTAAAAAGGTTTAAACAAAATATATATTTATACATATAGGCAAAACACAAAATACTTTTTTTGGTTGTCGCTCATGCGCCATAATTCGTTCATCCCAAATGATTATTTTGCATTCTTGTATTTGTAGATTATGTATTGGATTATTTAAAATTATATAATACAGAATATACACATATAAAAAGAATAATATATACATTAGATATTTAAGATTAACAAAGACAATTGTGCAATTCTCTTTCTTACTCTCGCTGAGCAAAAGTGTCTACAAATGACAACAACAAGAAGAGCTAACATTTAAAAATCCGAAAATTGGTCACTAAATTCTGCAAAACAAAATCAAGTACTTTTCGTTGCTTTTAATGTTAATTTTATGCCTTTATGTAAAATGTAATTCCCTGTTTCTCTATATTCGATTCTTATTTATAAAATCTCCTGTACTTTCCGCTTGATAAGCATTACTTTGGTAAATGGACTAACCTCAACTATATTATGGAAATTTTGTGGTATCTTCAAGATCGAGTCGCGCTCTGCCTCTCGCTATAACTATCTTTCAACCTGTCTCTCCCCTCTCTTTCTGCACAAGAAGCTAAATGTTAGTTCTTTTTGGTTGTTTTCGATGTTTTTTACAGGCGCCACTTTGAACACGGACGTGGGCCCCGATTCCGAGGCCCAGATCCATCCGGAATTCCAGGACGATGAGGAGTTGGATGGTCGCGATAACGGCGATGAGCATATCGATACCACGCAACAATCGGAGGAGGCCACGCCCCCCGTCACCGATAAGTTGGAGGCGCAAAAGAAGGCCGATTTGAAGAAGAGTGCAGCTGCCACGGCGGCGGCGGTTATAGCCGCAGGCAATGGCAGTCAGCACAATTTGAATGGAACGACCATTGAGGCTCCCAAACCGCCAAATACGTCCGTATAGGCCAAGCGAGCCCCTTAAAATTTCCAACCAATTCTTTGGCCAGTTTACCGGCACGCACCTTGTAAACCCAACTATTTTCTTGGGTTCTTTCTGCTGTGTGTGTGCCCCAGTTTGCTAAAAGCAAGCTGGAAAAGAAGAGAAAACACGAAATATATATAAATATCTCCTACCACACTTTGCTCTCTCGTAAAATATAAATAATACTTTAATGCAAATCTCAAAAAGTGCACAATTTAATAACGAATAATAAAAATAATATATAATTATACAAAACAAATGAAACCATTACCTTAGGCCAAATAATTTTAAGTGACCAATTTTCGTAAGTCGCGAATCTCAAATCCTTTAAACTTGACTCTGTGCACTCGAATATATATCTCAAACGTTCATATACACATAATTATAAATCAAAATAATCCAATGTATTGTATAATATTTTGTCCAGCACATATTGGTTTTTCTCGTCCCCGTATTTATTTAAGCTATTCGACCTGCCAGCAGTTTGCATTTTCAATCAGAAACTGTATTTTTTCTTCATTTTTGTTTCGCGTATCAATCAAATCAAATCAATGCCTATGATTTATTTTAATGCGTTTTTATTTTTCTAGCTGTTCTTTTGTAATTTTAGAGCTTTGTAAAGTAAACAAACGAAAACAAAATAAACAACCACAAAAATTGACAAATATGTACGTTTTGATGTTAGCAAAAGTAACAAGCTGATGCTGATGATGATGAAGATGATGATGTTTTTAGGGTTGGGGAAGTCTTATCTCTTTTCATCTATCATTAATCATACAAAATCACTCTTATATAGTGCAAATGATTGTCTTGTATTTGAAAGTATTTTTTAATTAACTTTATGTATTTTCTTCCAAATAGGCAAATCAATCAAGACGCCCACAAACGAAACGTAAGTACAATGAACGCAGAAAGCGTAAAAATTGATTCGGGAAAGGTTAACAAAACAAGGCCACATTTAAAACATAATTAACCCAACAACGGTATCTGGTTTGCTTAATTTTTGGTTTTAATTTTCCAATGCCATTAATCCGTTTATCCATTTTACTAAAATAATATTTGCGTATGTAGTTTCGGATGTGTGTTTGTTTGTCGTCTACTTGCATGTGACTCGTATCTCCCTCGGTCTCGAGGGGCTTCAATTTAATTTTCGTTCATTTACATCATCTCTTGATATAGAACAGCTCTCATTATCTCATCTTAGGTTACATTTTTGAGAACACAAATTTAAGAAATTTACAAAAACCTAGCTTAAGCACACGCATACCCCACCACACACATACACGAAGTCCTGTGTTTCGTCTTGTATTTGAATGTCTTGGAGCTTAAAAAAAAAGCTTTAAAATAAAATTCAAAATTCCATTGGAAAAATATAAATCATGCTGCCACACACACACACACACACACATTATACACTCTTAAAAATGCTCGCTAGTCGCTCTGCCACGCCCACTTTGCTCGCTCGCCCGCCCACCAAAAAAGAAAAAATTACATAAAATCGTTGTTTGTCAGCCTCTGTCTCTGTCTATCTCTGTCCTACCCTCTGAATACCATACCAGCGCTCTCTTGCTGTCTCTGTCTCACGCATTTACTAAACAAAAATGTTAAAAAATTGTCGCTGTCCAATAAATCATTCCAACAAAAAATATAGAATCTAGAGGTTATCAAAAGCATAGAAAACAACAACATAAGACTCTATAGTTTTAGAGCCACATTGCTAATGCATCACAAAAAACAAACAAGAATAATAATAATAATAGAGCATAATATAAATAAATAAGCAAAAAGAAAGAAACGCAAACCATTTTCTTGCCATGTTTTGTCTTCTTTTTCTACTACTTTCATATGTGTGTATGGACAACAACAAACAACAACACTGCGACAACCCCACAAAAACCCCCACCAAAATACCTTAAATACCGTAAACGAAAAATATAAAATCTAAAATATTATACAAAAAATTACCAAAAAATCACTAAAAACTCCGAGCAGTCAGAGCGATAAGCAACTGGAATTGGAGACCCAACAGAGCCATGGCCAAAACGTGGCCCTACTGGAGACCCCCAATGGCATCACCCTTCTGGGCGCCAGTAAGTTGCGAGAGTCCAATGGCGCCCCGGCACCCAATGGCACCCAGGATCGCCTCTCCGTGGAGACGAGGCGCAAGCCTAATGACGACGACGACAGCTTCGAGTATGGGACAGATCGCGAGAGCAGTGTCTATAATCCCACGACTCGTCCTCTGAAGAGTATCCTGATGAGTCAGGCAGGAGGTCGCAACTCGAGGAGTTCCGCGAGCGACAAGGAGGACGGCACTGAGCATGCTGATCTCCTGCAGAAGGGGAACCAGCTGGGCATACCCGAGTCGCGGTTCTCGCGCTGGCTGCCCAAGGATCAACGCGAACTGATCGAAAAGCAGGCCATGCTGCTGTCAGGACGAGGCAAGGCCAAGGCTCCGCCAGCAACGCCACCGAAGCCACAGAAGCTGCAAATTGGTGACACAATAGCTGCAAATAGCCATACGACGACGACGGCAGCCACACCGACGACGCCAAAGATACCACAGGAAACGGAAATCTGAGCGTACCACGTGTCCCTGTGTCTGTGTGCGCGCGTGTCACATCCATATTTATTTATTTTTACTCTTTTGGGAACAGGAAGCGAAGCGCAGCAGGATTAGGAATGCAATGGAGCAGTTTTGTGGCGAATCGGGGAATTTTTGGCAGGGAAGCCGAGGTAGACATAGCAAACAGAATGAACAGAAAAGATTATTTTAGCATTTTTCAGAAAGATGTACCAAAAATATCTAGTTTTCTGGGTGTTGCTATCCTATCGCTAAACTGTGTTCAGAAATATTTATTTCCAAATTAAATCATATCGGTGTCCTAAAGAGCAACGAGCTATAAGCAGAGGCCCTTAGAACGAATCAACTAATACAAGTGCCTTAGGATAATATATTACATAAAAATAAAAACAATTAATTAAATAATAATAACAGTTAAATGTTAAAAATTCCCCAATAGTTACCGAGACGAAAAATTCGTATAAATCTTGCAAACCTTTAAGCCTGCCACAAAACTGACTCCAAAGATTGTCTTTAAGCTTCGTAATAAGTCATAAACGTTTCCTTACACCCTCAAAAACAAAACCAAACTGCAGACATTTAAGACCTAAAACCAGATCAATGAAAACTGATTCATATCATAGAGAGATTGATGCCCGCGTGAAATTAAGTTATTATCGAATACGTTCAATCGAAATGCAATTGCATGGCAAGCATGAAGCGACAAAATCATTGTTTTTTACACGTATTTATATTGTAGTCACTCTGTACTAGTGGAAAGTGTACATCTTAAGCCGAGCACTCTGTACTTTATCACGTTAGTATTTAATTTCAAGGGCTGAAAACTTTGAGTTAACATTTAGCGACACAAAAACTATAACTGTAGCTTAGGACCTTTTGATACAAGTTGTTTTCCCTTTTTTATTAATTTACACAAAACGTATGGTTAATATTTAATTAACGAAAATAAAAACGGTTAAGATTAAGAAGGGTTTCATGGTAGTTTTTATGGTCTGTATTTATTTATATTTACCCTGAAAACGTGTGAGTGTGTGTGAGAGGAGTGTTTTGAATGAAATGGCATTTTGTGTCTGTGTGAGGGACTTAAGCTGAAAGGAAAAATTCTAACAATGGTGCACACATATCAAAGCGGAATTTCCCCCATTCAGTTTTGCATTTTGCGAGCATAACAAAAGCAATATCATTAAAATACAATAGCAATTTCATATATTTATGCATACATATATGAGAGACGCAACGCCAAATACATGTGGAAACATACAAATACAAGCACAAACACAAACTCAGATATTTGTAGGTAGGAAAATGTATCTGGCAGATACTTGTTGAACTTTTCCAGACTTCAGGCAGACTGACATTCAAATGAGGCGAAAAATATTTATAGAATATAAATGGAACTCGTTTCGGCCAAAGCAAAAGCGAACGAAGGTTGAATGGGAGCCTGAAATGGGTTAAGAGTCGATAGGAGCCCTTAAAGCCCTTAAAGTTATTATTATTATTAAATTAAATTATTATTAAGGCCAGTAAAGACCTGTTTCAGGGTAATTGCCTTGCAATTCTATTTGTTTAATATTACAGGCACCCTCCCCACAACAATTTGCCGTTTAAAAAATTAGTACAAAGTGGAAAACTTTAAACTCGGGCTATCGAATTCTTTGGCCAACAACAATTTGTTATTTAAATGAGATACAAAAGTTTGCCCTCTTGGAATATTTCTGCTTTTTGCTAACACAATTTGCCGGTTTTAATGGATCCAAGCATACACACACACACACACCCACACACGTACACAACACACACAGCGATAACAATTACGCCACTTACCCCAACCAAAAACAAAAGTTCGTTTTAAGCCCACTAACAACCAGAGATAGTAGTGAGCGGGGGGAGCCTTTTAATAATCCCAGAAAAGTGCCAAGTTAAGACGACTCCTAACCACACACAATCGACTAACCCGAACGGTCACCTGGCTTTTAATTTAATTTTAAATATTTTCAATGAAAAGCAGCAGTAATTAGTATCGAAAAAAGAAATCAAATCAAACATAAATATCATGCTCAATCCATAAAAAAAAATACCTTTCACCAATTTTCACACACACACACACACACACACGCATACTTCAACCGACAAGCAGCAGCGACACCGAGAGCGCCGATATAAAGGCCACCTCAACGGCCACGGCTACCACGACCATGGGCGGAGTGGGCGTGTCCGGCGAGGAGGGGGAAGAGGAGGAGGAGGAGGATAACGAACCCGTTAACGAACAAGAGAACAGCCCAGAGTCGCAGCAACAGCAGCAGCAGCAGCAACAGAAGAAGACCAAAAGATTGCCCGCCTTTGCCGTGGCAATTCTGAAGCGTTTCAACGAAAAGGATACAAGGAAAAACAAGGAAAAAGATAACAATCAGGAGTCAGCGAGTATTGTGGAGAGCAACACCACCGAACAGGAGGGCAACAATGCCGTCATGGATGGCAATGACAATGAACCAAAGGTATTAAAAACGTCTCAACGACACTCACACAGTTCTCCCTTCCTTTTCTTCTGAATACATTTTTCTAACGCCTCCGACCACTTCTGTGCACATACACTCTCAGAAAAAATTTGATAAATTATACACAAACTACAAATGACTCAGGAATAGTCTGTTAAAAATAATGCTTTAATATAGGCAAGCGTAATATACCCAGAAATCACTACGAAAATACCTCTAATTAAAAGTTATTCAGTGTAAATAGCGTATAGTATTCTGTGTCTTAGGACTTGTACGAATCCCTGAAAACTTTTATTTCAATGAGTGCAATAAAAGATTGTGTAGCACTGTCACTTGTATAGCATACTTTTAGAGACCTTTTCAAGAGACGACCCCTGAACAGTGGTCTTTGAAAAATATTCATAAACTATAAAATATATTAATCTTATAAACAGTCTCTATAAATCTGAAATACGGAGCTGACATAATTAATATTATTCTCCCGCTGAAAGGTTTTTCTCATGTGTGTGCGTGTATGTCTGACTGAGTGAATTTTAGTTACCTACCTTTAAGCTTAAGCCTAGTTCCTTTATCCTTAGCTGCAAGCTTCTAAGCCAAATATATAAATACATAATTTTTTATAATTTTCTTTTTGCTATTATCACAAAAATCTTTTCTACATAATTTTCTTTGCCATTTTCTGCTCTTTCCGTTCGAACAAACTACAAAAACAAAAACGCATGCAAATAAAACTGTTGTTGTATAATACATATAATATATATGCAAATAAAGGCTATAGTTTGGCAGAGCACCTCACCAGTGTGGACATTTAAGTAAAGCGAAGTAGAAAAACAAGGTATATCAATTTTCCCTATTTGATAAAGAACCTCACAATCAAATTTCTCAATTAAATTATATTCGTAAAAGGCAATGATCACTAATAACAATATTTTCATCCCATAATTTAGCAAGACAAACAACTCGTCTATGCTGAACTTGTACTAAAACCAGCAAATGAATCAGCAACAGTAACATCACCACCTGTAACAACAACAACAACAGCAGCACCCACAACAACAACAACAGCAACAACACCTGATGGAACAACCGGCAAAAGTTCAACGGAATACGCCGAAATAGTCTATGTGCAAAAGGAAGGCGAGGGTAAGAAATAAACACCGCGGGAGGCTGACGGGAAAACACAACAAATAAATGCACAAAAGGAGCAGCAAAAATAATAAACAAGAACCCAATGCAACAAAACCTAAACATAAACTTTACAATGATATTAAGAATGCAAGAAATAAAGAATTAAATGTCGTAAGTGGTTTTCCAAAAACTTCTTGAATGTCTGTGTACTAAAATCTAAATGAATTGTGAAACTAAACTCATAAAAGTAAACGTAAAAGTGAAAAATATTAAAACTTAATTCTCCGCACAGAAATCTAGACACAAGACACGCCCCTATCCCCAAAAATATGTAGGCCTCCCTCCTCCCACATTAAATCAAATTTACAACAAACATAAAAAAATGAAAGAAAGATGGAAAACCTTAAAAAGCTAAAAGAACATTTGCAAAACAAACTATATATAAATAAAATTTACATAAAGATAGGCAAGAGAAAATAAAAAGCATTTGAAAAATCTCAATTATTTACATAAATGTCTCGCATTTAAGCTAAATGTAAATTTAAGGCAGAACAGAACACACAACAAAAACAAAATCCGTATACAACAAAATTAAGCAAAGTTGAAGTAAAGATTATTTAGAGCAACCTTGAATTATTTCTACGCAGGAAGATATATACTACTGACTATAACATTTTAGGCAGCCAGAGCAAAGCATTTAAACAATTAAATTAAAAGCAACAAATAAAATATATACAGATAGGAGTATTTTCATTCAGAGAACCTCTTGCGATTCCGAAAGTATTTTATCACAATTAATTTCGATTTTACTTGTCTCTTTCCCTCTTAAAAAATTTCCATTCATTTTCACCAAACAGCACTGGCAATTAATGTTATTATTTAAAACAATTTACGCAATTACATATTAATGGATAATTAATTAAGTTAAGTGCATAAATTAAATACAATGTACTTTCATGATGATGATTGATTTTTGTATTTCGTAAGATATAATTTGTATAAAGTTAAGCTGATCCAGAAACATTTTTGAATAAAATTCTTTACCATATAAAGTGTGAAAGTGAGTTGTCCTTATTATTGCATTTTAAGCTATAATTTTTAATGTGTCATAAATTTTGTAATTATAATTAAATTATACCCTTTCAGGGTATAATAAATTTGGTCTGAAGGAGTCATTTCTGATTTAATTTGTTCAAAAATGTCAAACTTTGACATCGCTTAGTCGCTTCCGACCCCATAAATCATATGTATTCTTGATCAGCATCAACAGACAAATCTTTCTAGATATATATATATATATATATATATATATATAGTAAAAGAGTGACTTATTTATCGAAAATATTGTCATTTAAAAAATCGATCCATAACGTCAGCACAGCTGGTACAGCTTTTTGTCCGCTTTTTATTTGAAATGGGTCAGGCGAACAATTTGCACTGCGATCTGGTCCCAAATCTGACTTTGCGCGGCTCAAATTCTTCAAATTCCCGATTTCAGATACCAGGCGAACATAACGCCGAGAAGGGCGACGCTGAACACAATTCTTCAGCGCTTAAGACAACGCTTAATAATGGCCGATGGGAAGCCATTTTGCCGATCGCACCCATTATTAAAGATAGTTGATATCCCTTTCCATCTCTTTTAAAGACTACTGCTCTACCGGTGTATACAGCAGCTGTCCCCCCTAACCCACGAACTATTGCTCTCCCGGAGTATGCAGCAGCTATCACCCCTTAGCATACAACGTACTGCTTTACCGGAGTATACAGCAGCTATCCCTCTCTGGCAACCGCAGTACAGATCTACCTGAGTATGCTGCAGCTGTCCCCCCCTAGCAAACAAAGTACCGCTCACCCGGAGTATGCAGCAGCTATCCCCCCCTAACCAACGAAGTTCAGCTCGCCGGGGTATACAGCAGCTATCCCATTCTAGCCAACGGACTTGCCCAAATGCATTTTATTCAGCGAGCACTGATGTCAGCACTGCTTGTTTTGCATTCTGTTCGCCTGTTATTTAACATGGGTCCGGCGAACAATTTGCACTGCGATCTGGTCCCAAATCTGACTTTGCGCGGCTCAAATTCTTCAAATTCCCGATTTCAGATACCAGGTGAACATAACGCCGAGAAGGGCGACGCTGAACACAATTCTTCAGCGCTTAAGACAACGCTTAATAATGGCCGATGGGAAGCCATTTTGCCGACCGCACCCATTATTAAAGATAGTTGATATCCCTTTCCATCTCTTTTAGAGACTACTGCTCTACCGGCGTATACAGCAGCTGTCCCCCCTAACCCACGAACTATTGCTCTCCCGGAGTATGCAGCAGCTATCCCCCCTTAGCATACAACGTACTGCTTTATCGGAGTATACAGCAGCTATCCCTCTCTGGCAACCGCAGTACAGATCTACCTGAGTATGCTGCAGCTGTCCCCCCTAGCAAACAAAGTACCGCTCACCCGGAGTATGCAGCAGCTATCCCCCCCTAACCAACGAAGTTCAGCTCGCCGGGGTATACAGCACCTATCCCATTCTAGCCAACGGACTTGCCCAAATGCATTTTATTCAGCGAGCACTGATGTCAGCACTGCTTGTTTTGCATTCTGTTCGCCTGTTATTTAACATGGGTCCGGCGAACAATTTGCACTGCGATCTGGTCCCAAATCTGACTTTGCGCGGCTCAAATTCTTCAAATTCCCGATTTCAGATACCAGGCGAACATAACGCCGAGAAGGGCGACGCTGAACACAATTCTTCTGCGCTTAAGACAACGCTTAATAATGGCCGATGGGAAGCCATTTTGCCGATCGCACCCATTATTAAAGATATTTGATATCCCTTTCCATCTCTAATAGAGACTACTGCTCTACCGGCGTATACAGCAGCTGTCCCCCCCTAACCCACGAACTATTGCTCTCCCGGAGTATGCAGCAGCTATCACCCCTTAGCATACAACGTACTGCTTTACCGGAGTATACAGCAGCTATCCCTCTCTGGCAACCGCAGTACAGATCTACCTGAGTATGCTGCAGCTGTCCCCCCTAGCAAACAAAGTACCGCTCACCCGGAGTATGCAGCAGCTATCCCCCCTAACCAACGAAGTTCAGCTCGCCGGGGTATACAGCACCTATCCCATTCTAGCCAACGAACTTGCCCAAATGCATTTTATTCAGCGAGCACTGATGTCAGCACTGCTTGTTTTGCATTCTGTTCGCCTGTTATTTAACATGGGTCCGGCGAACAATTTGCACTGCGATCTGGTCCCAAATCTGACTTTGCGCGGCTCAAATTCTTCAAATTCCCGATTTCAGATACCAGGTGAACATAACGCCGAGAAGGGCGACGCTGAACACAATTCTTCAGCGCTTAAGACAACGCTTAATAATGGCCGATGGGAAGCCATTTTGCCGATCGC